GTTTGAAGGGGCAAAGTGAGATTTGACAAAAGTTTTAGGGAGATTCATTATTACACCCAATATAGGAGTCCAAATTATAAAAATACCCCATATGAAATGGATTTTAGAAACACACCCAAAGCTCATTTACAACATAACAAAAAAGCTTTTAACTTCTTATAAATTACAAAATTGCCATCAATTTTTTAAAACAAGCTCAACCTCAAAATCTCATAAAAATACCCAAAACACTTAATAGAGTATCAAAGTAATTTAATAATAAATATTAAATTCAATAAGGCCAATTGTCATTTTTTTGGATTTGTTTATAGAAATTCAATTATGTATGGTTTATTTATAATATTAGTGCTAAGAATAGATATATCACTAAATATCTCAAAGTTTTAGGAGGCAATGGAGTAATTAAGCCTAAATTTTAATATAAAATTGTTGTAAAAAACATTTTAGGGGGCAATGGAGTAAAAAACATTCAAAATTTGGGTGCCAGCGGTTAGTATCGAAAGCCTGACCAACAACTATGGCTTAGTTCACGAATCCACTGTAGTACAAATAGAAATTGTTATTTATTTACATAAACAACCTTTTTAGATGCATCAAAACTATATATATATATATATATATAAAAGAGCCGACATTTTCTTCTTCATTTCTGTTCGTCTCCTCTTTACAGAACCCTAACTAAGCCAAGCGCCGCCATCACCTCCATCTTCTCTATATCCATGGAGCGTACGGAGCTTTATGTTGAGGAGAGCAACGATCTACCTCGTCCACCGCCGGATCTTGTTGTTGAGGAGAACAACGATCTTGTAGTTCTATATGATTTCGAAAAATCAGAATCTCTCTACATGGTATCTTCTGTTCCATTTTTATGCGATTTTCTTATTTCTCTGGTCTCACAGCTCCTTTCATATTAGTCTTTCTTAAATTCTTCGTTGATACGGAGTAATTACGACCATTAGATCGATTGTGTGGTTTCATGAACATGAACATGATTATCATCATCAGAATCATATAACTGAGTCTGAGTTGGAGGAGAATAGAGATGGTTATTAGAGGGTGAGAGCTGTAGAGGGAGAGATAGAACAGAAGCTTTAATGTTTGCTTTCACTACAACTAAGGGGCTGTTTGAGTCAATTTCAATTTAATGTTCAAGTCACCAATTGGGAATCTGGAGGTGCAGGCGAGTGGGAAGGTTGACGCTCTAATGCAGAGCATAACCCTAAATCCGATTCAGATCCAAAGCCTTGTTAATCCTTTAAACTCTTATTCCATTATTTCTAGTGTTTCTTATTTGAAATATGTTAAGACTTTACATGTTTCCATATATGATAAGACTTCACATATTCCGAATAAGAAACGCAGTTTTCGTATGTGAAAAGGAAAATGTTTAAAGGACCAAGATGACTAGGAGTTTAAAGGAATAATAGGGCTCTGAAACTGAATTGCCAATTTCACTGTTAGTTGGTGGCTCGAACATTAAATTGAAATTGTCTCAAACAACCCCTTAGTTGTAGTGAAAGCAAACATTAAAGCTTATGTTCTATCTCTCCCTCTACAGCTCTCACTCTCTAATAACCATCTCTATTCTCCTCCAACTCAGACTCAGTTATATGATTATGATGATGATAATCATGTTCATATTGATGAAGCCACGCAATTGATTTAATGGTCGTAATTACTCTTTATCAACGAAAAGTTTAAGAAAGACTAATATGGAAGGAACTGTGAGACCAGAGAAATAAGGAAATCGCATAAAAATCCATATAAGATTGGTGGATTTGGTCCCTCAATATGCCAAAATTACTCGATATATCCTCACAAAATTTGTTGTATACGGCTACAAACAAATGAAGGGGGAACAAATCATATGTGCTCTGTCTTAAACATTA